CCACTCTGACCTACCTAACGATGTTAACGACCACTCTGACCTACCTAACAATGTTAACGATCATTCTGACCTACCTAACGATGTTAACGACCACTCTGACCTACCTAACAATGTTAACGACCACTCTGACCTACCTAACGATGTTAACAACCACTCTGCCCTACCTAACAATGTTAACAACCACTCTGACCTACCTAACGATGTTAACGACCACTCTGACCTACCTAACGATGTTAACGATCACTCTGACCTACCTAACGGTGTTAACGATCACTTTACCCTACCAAACGATGTTAACGACCACTTTACCCTACCTAAGCTAATTGATATGTTAGGTGTGTACTGTGTCACATCCCACGTCAATCTAACCAGTGCCTTACACTACCCACCTAAAAGACATGTTAGCTGTGTACTGCGTGACGTCTCCAAGCTGTCTGTCCTTGTTGTGCAGAAAGTTGGTGAGTTCATCCAGGTGCCGCTCACTGTTACTGCCTGCGAGCTGGGGGCAGTCGGCGTTATCTAGTTCTGACAGTGCTCGCAGTACAGTGTCTGGGTCCATGTAGGTCGTGGGAGACACCTGCAGGGAAACCAGAGCTGCGCTTTCACCGGTGTGGTTAGTAGCCTCACATGCACGCACGTACACACAGACAGACACGCACGCACGCACGCACGCACGCACACACAGACATGCACGCGTGTACATACGCATGCACACACGCACGCACAGACACACAAACATGCACGCATGTACATACGCATGCACACACGCACACACAGACACGCACGCACGCACAGAGACGCACGTACGTACATACGCACGCACGCACGCACGCACGCACAGACACGCACACGCGCATGCACAGACACGCACGCACGCATGTACGCACAGAGACGCACGTACGCACGCACAGACACACACGTACGCACGCACAGACACACATGTATGCACGCACAGACACGCACGCACGCACGCACGCACGCACGCACGCACGCACGCACGCACGCACG